CCCCAAAACCCCAAAACCCCAAAACCCCAAAACCCCATGAAAGAGCTGACCATTGGATACCAATTTTGGTGAGGAAACTTAATTGTTCAATAGAGAATTGGACACAAATGATCCTGACCAGGAACAGAAAGCCAAAGCCCAAGGAAAGAAGATATGTTGCTAATTAGGTATAGGTTTTATGTATAAAGTCCATCATAGTTGCTGTAATGAATACAACCTTATAATTGAGCCAGGCGGTGTCAGGAGTTACATCCAATTTTGATATCCATTTCTTTCGATTCAATTTTGTCCTGCTGCTTTTAGGACTCCTTTCATTCTCTTCCTTTGGATAAGGGTTTGACCACTTTCCTCATTAGTTCTATTTTCTTCCTTCTGTGTGTAAATAGAGTTAGATCCAGAATTCACATCTTTTTGATCATTCCTTGGGTAAAATATAGGACTATAGCTAGAAAAATTATCTTTTATAAGGAAAACATCACTCTTATCAAGAAATGATTTAGACAGGTCTGCATCATCCCCTTTCTTGTTTGGTGACATATCTTGTGAAGACTCTTGGACTGAACCTAAATCTTCAAGGCCAGCCGTGGGATCTAGATTTTGATTAGCTATTACATTCAGAATCAACCTAACTCTTTGGTAGGTTACTTTGCTTAGATAACCAAACTCCAATAAATCAGCCAAATTATTCAATAGAAGAAGTTACTAACTATGGAATTTCATATTTTCACAGGTAATTTCGACGAACTAAAACTGTATTTAACTGCATGAAATTTACTAAAAATCTTTGGGGATGTCTTAACTCAACAAGAATATGAATTCAAATTCATATTACACTTAGAGCCACTTCCAAATGCAGAGATGACTAACATAAATGGGTAGTATTTTATTAGCATCATGAGTTTTCATAATTTTGAGACCACTCTAAAGGTAATAATATCCATGCTTTAAAGGTTAGTATAACGTCCCTCATCTCTAAGCTAAGGAATTAGGTATAAGTGGCCTCTTTACAAGTCGTAAACCTAACTTGAAACTGAAGGCTGGTTGCCACATAGTTTCCTTGTAACTTAACAGCACAATTATGATCTTCAAAACTGTAATTACCATGATCAGGTCTTGGATTTAGTCTTCTTTGATTAGGATGCATATTTTCTTGAAGTCCAGGTTCAAAATCTTCAGAAACACTTTCTTTGATTGATGGGTAACTGTCTTTGTTAGAGTGAGCCATATTGTCAAAGTCTCGATCCCAGGCTTTAGCAATTTTATAATTTTGTAATGCTTTGTCATTGTTTTTAAATTCTTCAAAATTATGTGAGTTAGGTATTAAATCCACTCATTCTTGAGGCTTTTGCTTGAGATTTCTCTGAATATTATTCACATCCTCTATATCTTTCTTAAAACATCTCTTCTTCTTTTGAAGATTTTTGGTTCCAGCATGCCTTATTTCAGAGGGCATGGGCATTGTTTGAGTTTCTTTTGATTTCAACACTGGCTTATTGGAAACAGGCCATATTTGACTTTGTTCTCAATCTTTAGGTTCTTCTCAATAAATGCTCGCTTCATTATTTGAGCCCAGATCATTGGTCTCACCTAGTTGAAAATTTTCTTCAGATTCGTGGTTATTTGTCAAAGGATATGGGTTTCCATAAAATTCTTTCTTGATATCATCTGTTTTTGTCGAAATCTAAAGGGAAATTTATTATGACTCTCGCTGTAGGTTTATTATTTAGAAAGAGGATGATAATGTACAACTCAAGGCATCAAAAGAACCATATCTATGATACCTGAGGGATGTACTAACATTAATAACAATTTAGCTAGATTCTATATATTCTCCAACCTTATGTTTATACCCTGATTCCTTTGTTAGCCTAAAAATCAGAGAAATGATTACTTCTTAATATTCTTTCTGAGTTTAGACCTGATTCGTTTGAAATGCATCTGATATATAAAAGAGAAGACCAGCTTGGCCACAATCAGGGCGCCAAAGATGGTAACAATTATGGATAGGGATCCTTGCTCATTCTCTTGAGAAAGGTAGATAATGGATCTACTGAAAATAGCATTTCAAGCACTCCAAATCAAGAGACAGTAGAAGCGAAAGTTTTCGTAATCTATTCTTTGAGCACGATCTCTTTTGCTTTCAGATTTAAAGCCCTCAGACGAACCTCTAGAGCCCCAAGTGACATCATGAATATTCGCTATTGAATAAATTGTCATAATATTGATATAAGTCGGGATCATGAAAAAGATGTAGATTGTTCCCTTAATAAAATCCATCAGTTTTAAATCTGAAAAATTGAGCACCATTGGGAATAGATAAGTTCAGACCAAGCCGGCGATTGCTATATATACTCCTTCACTAAGCTTGAGATTCATAGCAACTGCAAGAACCACAATGGTCATCATAAATGAGAAGAATCCCATGAATGCGGCAATGCCTTTAAAATATTCCCTGCAGTATTCCAATCTGATGCAAATACTGAATAAGAAAATGAAAAATAGGAAGGCTAAGTAGAGGTACTCCAAAAAGTTAGCCATAACAAACACATCATTTCACTTTGAGCCATAGAAGATTGACCTTACAAAGATACTATATGTGGCATAGTGAAGCCCAACTATGAGAAGTCCTAAGAGCGTGTTTAGAAACATGTAAATGAAGAAGAGCCAATAGATCAGAATATCCCAGAATCATCATTTATCACGTTTTCTATTCTTCACTTTCATAATTCGAGTGAAAACATATAATGTGGCAAACAATGAGCCATTGAACCACCTCCTTCTTTGCTTTATTAGTGTAATAAAGTTATTAGGAGCATCTGTTTTGGCTTTACAACCAGGCACATATTTGATGACAAAATTTTCGTTTTTCTTTGAGATGATCTCCATCGGCATGATACGGTCCTCTGCCAAAAACTTGTTTCCTTCCCAGCAACTTGGATACGGCTTTGATGGATCAGAAATAGAAGTCCCTTTTAAGAACTCTTCGAGTGGCTCTTCTTTAATTCATTCCCACCTGAACATACTGAAGGCACCAGGCAGCACAGAGATGTAACCAAAAAAAGACTCAGCAGCTTTGTCGAGGTAATGGGAGAGTTTGTACTCCCCATACTGGGATCTGAGAAGAACGCTTTGGAAGAAGGTGACTTCCTTGCCATCATCATTTTTCTCAGTGAGTATGACCTCAATCTCTCCTCACACTGCTCCAACATCTTTGTACAACTCCATATACATGGTCATGTGAGAGATTGATTTCCACATTGGGATTGTTCCTGCATCAAGAATAGTGGTAATTTCAGGATTTAGAGTGTTGCAGAAGCCTTTGAAGAACCACAGGTGGGACTCAATTTTACCCATATTGCGATGTTTGATCACCAAGTGCACATCAATAGGCATAGATCTAGATGAAATGTGTGAAGATATTTCATAACGTAACCAAAACTTTACTGAAAATAAACAAATTTTTAGATAAAAATGTAAAATATTTGTGAAAATTCAGAGATTTATAGGATATTTTTTTGAAAAAACACTCCTTTCAGATTTTACCAGCAGAAAATAGCACTGAAAAGTCTCAGCTCTAAGCGATGGTTAATCTAAGAATTCATTTAGAAATCTTACTCGTATTGATAAGTTGTTATTTTTGTCGTGGTTTGATTGCCAAACAAAAAATCGAGTGAAAGCAACTCGTCAACTTTAAGTTTCTTCCTCTCAGAGTCAGTAAGTCCTTGGAGAAAATTTCCAATATACATTGATCTTGAATATCAATGTGCTAGGTTTGATGTCTCAAGATCATAATATTTGTTGCTGTCCCTTAGTCCTTGTCAGTTCTTCAGAGCTTCGATATTCATGTACTCTAAACAAGTTTTCTTAAAATTGTCATTTTGACATGGATCAGGATTTACAGAAATCTGGTGAACAGATTATCATTTTTTTTAATATCCATACAAATATCTCGAACAAGTAACAAAATTTTGTGTAAAACTATATCAAAATCTAGATATTTTTAGGGAAATCCTTGTTTAAATGAGTAAAACTTACCTGGAGACTTGTCTGAATCCTTCTCATCGGGGGTTTTCAAATAGCTCTTAGTAAATTCGGGGTCATAAAGACCCGCCATTTGATATCTCTGCCAGTTCTGCAAGGGAGTCTCTTCAGTTTCCTTTGTAAAAATTTGATAGCCGTCACATATAATCACGATGGCCAACCTGTCCCTAAACTGTTTGTCTATCTCGAGTAGCTCATAATAGTTCCTGTAGATACCCACCAGAGTCTGGAAAATTTGGAGGTATGGCTCATTGTACATTGTGATACATACAAGCTGATGCATCCTTCTTCCCTTTTCATCTGAAATGAGAGAGCTGCTGTCATAGATAGATTTGAGATTTTTTAAGTCAATCTGAGTTTGTTCTAAGTCTCCAAGGTGCTTCATCAACTTAGTTCGCTCAACTATGGTGCATTTATCTTCTTCTTGCTTCTTCTCTTCCTCTCTGAATCACAGAAGAGGGTTATATTCCAATCTAAATTTAACTTAGATATTAAGCTCTTGCAGATCTTGTTTAAACTTACGAGGTACTGATATTAACTCTAGTGGTTAACGCTGCATCTTCTTCATCTTGGTCTTCCTGTTCTCCACTTTGTTGAAGTTTGGGTGGCTCTTCTTGCTCTTCGTCCTATAGATTTATTAAACAGTATACTCTATCATTTGATTTGCTTTCTTCTTGAGATCCTTTTCGATTTACTATATCAGTTGAGCATGTCATTAAAAATAAGCTAGTGAATACTATAGATTTAGGAAGCCTACGAACGATTGGTACCTCTAATGTAGCCTGAGCCATCTCAGCTCTCAACAAAAAGTCATATATGAAAGAGAGAGTGTAGTCTAAGGCTCTGTATTTGATAAAACACACCGAATAGAATTCTTATATAGCTTAAAATATTGGCCTAAAATGATCATAATACACTTTCGAACAGAATGATGATTTCCTATCATACCAAAATCGTGCTCATAATATTAAGCCGAAGCCCTCATTGAAATACAGATTGGCTTATTCTTCAGCCTACTAACAGAACTTTTGGAATGGATAAAGACTAGCTTCAAAATCTAATGATGATAATTACTCGACTTACCAATGTTTTCTTCTTTATTCTTCATTTTCTTAAACAAATTTACGCTCAATTTCTATTGAAATTTCCACGCAGGGGTTTTGGGGTTTTGGGGTTTTGGGGTTTTGGGG